TTTCTCATACCATCGTCCATCGTATCGAGTAAATAAAAGTACATATCCACCTCGTTAAGTATGTTGTCAAGGCGTCTGATTCTTCGTCTCGTTAGTCAAGGCTAGAGTTCGCGAAGAAGTATTTCCCCGCCGATCTACGCGCGGAGGGGACTCGAACGCTCGCGCGTGCAAGCCGATAGATATACTTATGTACCGTAAGCTGACAGCCTCTAAGTACGGTGACAAATCTGTGTTCGTTTTATCGTAAAGATAAATATCGTTCGCTTAATTATTTAATTGCCTGCGTTGATCTCTCGTCGCGATTCTCCACACCTCGATTCTTACAACGCGGAATATCAATTTTTTGTCTCTCTGTATGGCGAATGGAACACGGAACTACTTATCATATATGTACGACGTACGATGATCGGAGCCGATCATTAAAATATAAAAAATACCGATCGAAAGAATCGAATATGAATTTGTTCAAGGATCCTCGTGATCGAACACGGATGCGCGTCACGCTTTTCCTATCGAACATCCACGTGACAAACGTCGGGCTTTCCTTCGATCTACACCTACATGTACTTACATATTTCAAGTGGGCGTGTATTTGCGCGTCTACGTAAGAACTGTAACATTAATCGGTAGGAGAGACTACGATACAGTTCGATGCGAGGACGAAGAATCGCTCATTGTACAAAATGGCATCATAATTGCACATGTATACACAAGGTACATGGTACGTTGTACATATGTATATTGCATGATGCATCGGAATGTTGCAAAACGGGGAAGTCTAACTGAAGCAATATTTTATTAAGTAACGCATGTGTGATGCATGTGATGGTATTGGCATGGCCAGAGCACCCTTTATTATGATGAATAAAGAATTTTAATATTCAATACTCATCGGAACTCTCGTTATTAGTGCAGGAATGTAATAATTATGTGACAGGTTACATATATTATTTCGAATAACGAATTAATTTTGTGTCGAGATAATTTTAATTAACGAATAAACTTTTATTTTCTTATTCCAATCGGAATTTCCGATCTGTAATTTCGTATATACCATTTCTCCTCTCCTCCGGACTCAAATTAGGCTAAATTTTCTAACAATTATTAATATTATTATTATTATATACAGGGTGAGTCGCCTAAGGCAAGCCATCTGAATAACTTCTACATCCTTTGGGATAGGAAGAAGTGTTCCAGACAAAAGTTGATTTCGAAGGACACGTTACATGGTATATATAACTTTTCAGCAGGTGGAGATGCTTAAGAGATTGAAGGTCAACTTTGTTCTTTCATTCTCCCATTTGGGAGGGGGAACTTTTTTTTACATCAAATGATGCAACTGAACGTTCTTTATAAAAAAAGTACTGACCTAGTCATGTCGAGGAGGTAGCAGTTTAGAAGACATTTCAATTTAAATAATTCTAAAATTCGTACTGTCAGTGAGTAGAAATTGGAACGTGAGCAGCAATCGGGATATTTACCTTTTACGTTAAAAATACCCTTTGACCTGAAAAAGCACGTCAATCAATTTTATAAATTTTATTTCCCGGTAAATATAATTTTACCTAAAAGCTATTCGGTTCAAATGTTTTTTACTTATTTATTACACAAGTTAAAAAACCTTTTTATATACATAGAAGTGCAT